CCCCCCCCTTTGCTCTGGGAGTCACTATGAGTCTTTCTAGAAGAATGAAGAGATTAAGCAAAATTATGAAAACAGTTTAAACAAATTACCTGTTTTTAATAGAACCAGACATGCATGAACCACATGAGGATACTTATTTGCCATGTAACCTACTTGAAGCTGTGTCATGTCATTGTTCTGTTTAAGCAGTGTTTGTGATAAAACTGAGTTTCAAACATATCATGGTTCCCTACCTTATATCTAAACAGATAAAGCCATCAACAGGGCCAAGAGGATCCATTATTGCATATCTACATTTCTAGGTGGTTTTTTTCCCTACTTGCATTGTATTTAGTTGTTTTGTTTCCATTTAGGTAATACTATGTTCTTATTTTAATAGTTATGTAAAAATATGCAATATGCCCCAAATTAAAAGATTAAATTACAAATCTCAGATCTAGTATGACCTTCATTATCCATTAAAATTTAGGAACAGTTCTTAACCTTTTTGTTGCCCAATCAAGTTGTCCTTTGAGACTTTGATTATAATTACTAATATTTTTTTAATTTAAAAGTATTTTTGTTTTCAAAGAATCTTGATAAAAGAAGATATAAGAGGACTATATATGATAAAAATCTCAAATGAAAAAGGCAAATATCTAACAAGTTATGAAAAATCTAGAGCCGTATTTTGACCTCCATTACCTTCCAGAGCCATAGAAATGTAGTTATGTAGTAACCCAAGAATTTCTTCCTTCAGCCTCCAAACCATCACAACGGACGCGTCGTCCATGTCCCAAACCAAAAACCACACCCCGTCCAGAAACACCTGAGTCCAAACCAGGTAAACGTGTGTCCCTGGTTTAGAGTGCCAGCAGCCTAACCCAGCAGGGTCTCGGGAATAGTATTTGGAGCAGGGAAAGATAGATTAAGAGTAGAGCCTTGACCTCACCATAGTACATGAATGAGTAGAAAGATGGGGAGGAATAAAATCAGAAAGAGTAGATAAAAATAGAGATGAGCTGGAAGAAGTAGTCTGACCGCAATACTAGTGCAGAGGATGTCTAACTTCAAGGTGGCATCAAAGCTTTTCTGGATCTAGATCCGTCCGTGGACTTTCATGGTGGCAAATCCTTAGGCACCTGATGGAACAGTTGAGATTTGATCCAGTAGACAGCAAGCTCTTCTCTGCCCATGGAGGCATGTTTTTTCTTTGCTTAGAATAGAGGGATACCCTATTTGATTCATCATGTGGAGGCCTCAGTGTGTTTCCAAAGATAAATTCTTAGCAATACTCACACATCCCACTTTGGCATATTAGTTAGAATCAGACAATCAAAGAAGGAGAAATAAGGAAATAAGTACCTGATTTAGGTAGAACCAAATTTTTAAAAAATAAACTGTATTCTTGTCTAGTTTAACAGTTTATAAAAGTTGCTATATAGTTCTAGAAACTATATTATACTAGTAAGATGCATTTTGAAGTAAATGTTTGTATTTTCTTTCATTTAAAATAATCATTTGGCTTATTTTTAATACTTTTGGTCAGTTTCTACTGCAGACTTTGAACCTGTTACATTCAGTACTGAGGCTTGGGTGACAACACAAGGTAATGGCTCATTGTGATCCTCAGTAAGTGCTTTTCCTTCTCATTGTCGGACTCATTCCATCCGCATCGTAGCTCCAGGTTCTTTTGCTTCGTCAGGCTACATCGTCATCCTTTGTTGTCACTCCATTATCTTCTTCATTGTAAAAGGATTGAAGATTCTCCTTCTTAAAACAAATTAGCCCTTGTTTTTTAGAAGGCCGTGCATGAACCTAACTCAAGTCATCTGTTATGCATGTAACCATCTGAAACTGTTCTGTCATTTTGTGCGTTTTTTTAACCAGTGTTTTGTTAAAGCTGGGTTTAAAAACCAATTCTCTTGACTTTAACAACTGTTATGGTGTCCAGGAGTTTCTTTGTGGATTTAAAGGTCTACTTTTTTTTACACTGTGTGATATTTGTTCTTTGGCTGACATTTTAGTTAATTACATGGTCTTACCCAGTAAACTGTCAATGTTTGTAGGTGGGTATCACCCCACTGTATTTCAGCAGTGATTCTTACCTTCTATTCAGCCAGAAGAGTCCTACGAATGACTCTTCACTTCTTGAAATAACAACTTAATTTTATATGTGACTCATTTCCAAAGAACTTTCAATTGTAAAAGAAGACATACTATTATAATAGGGGTGAAAGTTTCAAATTAAAAAGCTAAAATGACACATTTCCTAAAATATAAAGTAATCTAATAAGTGTTAGGAAATACAGAGCCATGTGTGATGATCCAGAGCACCTGAACTACAGAGTCTGTAGTAACTGAAAGTTTTCTTTCTTCAGCTCCTAAACCATCAAAACGGACCCGTCGTCCACGCCCCAAACCTCAAACCACAACTACTGAGGCACCTCACGCCAAACTGGGTAAATGTGGGTTTCTGGTTAAAGGACTGAGTCCTAGCAGCTTGGGGGAGTCTGATATTGATGCCCATGGTGGGAGTGATAGTCCATGTGAGCCCTCTGTAGGTGAAGGTACAAGGTGATCTGCTGCTGTTCCCACTGTTAAGAGGAAATCATGGCTGGGGCAGACCCATGTGGCAGCTGAATTCCTTGTGCTTTCTGCGTAAAGATCTCTTTTAATAGGGAATGTTGTTGTTGTTTTACTTTTTCTCATTTCATTATATTCTTCTATTAAAAACAAATGTCTTAAATAGGACCAAGCATTTTTAATTCAAGAAACAAACATTAAGTGCCTTCCATCCCCCTATAGCCACATCAACAGCTGTGAGGATCTCACAAAAGGAGGCAGCTTGTTTTTACTTCTCAGTCTGTAGTACAAAGTCAAACCCTGGCCCCAATATGAAACAGTCAAACATTGAACCAATGCAGTGAGTCTGTGCAAATCTAGCTTGTTTATTTCAGGGACTGTAAACATCTTAAGCTTTAAGAGAGAAGTTTGTGAAGGACAGGAGTAAGGAGTGGAAAGAAGTTGGGTCTTAAAATCATGAAAATGAACAGAGGCAGAAAGATAGGGGATACAGAGGTCAACCAGAGGGCACAGGCTTCTGCAAAAAGGAGGCTCCTGCTTCTGAGTAGTGATGATAGTGCTATGTTTGGAAGGGTCCATAAGAGCAGTTAAAGAAAAGTCCTTGAATGGAAGACTTCAGAAGTTTGGATCTGACCCTAGAAGCATCAGTGGCCTCTCCCACCTACATAGGATACCACATTTTTGTGATCAGAGAGGTGTTCTACTAGGCACCACACACTGAGTGAGGGTTTCTCATCCTGATTTGTTGAGTGCCTTTGCCTTAACTGAGGGTCCAGCCTATTTCCAAATAGGAGTGTTCAACAAAATGAACATGGTTCACTTGGCTTTATTCTTTGCTATGTCTTCTTTCAAACATAAACACTATTTTTGTATCTATGATTATTTAGACAGGCTGTTTTCTTGATAGTGTTGACTCTGTTGAGAGATTTACCAGATTTGTGTAGGCTATGACTATCTCCTAAAAGAACATTTACCTGGTGGCTATAGGGTGACCAAACAAGTATTTAATTTCAGAAAAAAAGTATAACTGCCTTACACCCATTGAAGTAATATTATACTTGTAAGATTTAATTTGCTGACGTACACAGTGTTTATTTCATTGCTTTTGATTAGTTCCTATTACAGATCTTGAGCCTGGTACTCCTAGAACTGAAGCTCCAGAAATCGTAGGTAATGAGAACGTGTGTCCTTCAGATAATGCTTTTCCTAGTCATCCTCATACCATTGTAGCTGTAGGTTCTCCTGCATCTTAAAGCCATCTCAACATCCTCTGCTGTTAATCCATTACAGCCTTTATCTTGAAATTATGCTAAACTCTGTCATCTGTTGAATATAATAAGAGAACTGTGCATAAACTAATTTCAGGACATCAAACTGCCATGTAACTTCTCAACGTTGTGTCACATGATCACGTGCATTTGTTTAAACAACCTTGACTATTTTAAGCTTCATTTCAAGCATGAATTTCCATCCATCCCTTACAACTGCTTATGTCCCATCATTTGTGGAATATCATATTTCTTTGCTCATATTACTTTTTATTGTATTTTATAGTATTGGAATGTGTGATGATATTGGTGGATGTATTATTTCAATGAATAATGTTTTTAGTTAATTGTCAAATTGTTTAATGTGCTAAGTCTTGAAAGCTTAAATGATAGGCTTATAGATAGAGTAGGCTGACTCTTCTTTTCTGAAGGTTTAAAAATGTTTCTTTTATTGAATCAAGGACCACTTTGACATTTTGATGAACACAGTCCATTCGTTGTGCATTGATCCATATGTTTTCAAATATGTGAACTCACCATTTTACTGTGACTATTTAAATACTAGACAAAAGTAGAAATTTATTTCAACTTGTACAGAGGGCAAGTAGACTGATGAAGGCTTTTTCCAGTAGAGACAGAAAATTATATATTATACAAATGTGCAAAAAAACTTGTCCAGCAGAGTCTACCATATTAGCAAGAGTCACATAATCAAACATCTAGGGGAACTTCTTGCTAACCACAGTATTTGGCAGAGTGCTATACTAGGTCTATATTAGGAGATTAATAGGTACTTGGCCGTTTGGTCAAACTTGCAAGGAACAAGTGTCTCTTATCTCTCAGTTCTGAAGCTTAAAAATTGACTTCTGAAATTAATCAAGTGAAATTTTAAAATTTCTTTGGCTTATTTTTGGCCAGTTCTTCCTACAGTCTTTGAACCTGTCACTCTTAGAACCAAGGCTCCAGAAAAAACATTAGGTAATGATATTTTGTGTTTTTTATCAGTTGCTTCTGCTAATTGTCAATCCATTCCATCATCATCATCACATTGTCATCAGCTTCAAAGGACTGTCTTGTCATCCTCTGCTGTCTTTTGACTTTGTTTTTCTTCTTAAGAATATTTCAGACTCTTAAAAGAAGTTAAAAGCTATTTTAAAAAGCTATGTATCACCTAGATCATAATGTTTGTGTTATTTGGATTTTTGTTGTGTACTTTTGTCTAAACAGAGCTCGCATTTAAAGCTGAGTTTCAAATGCAGTGGGTAATGTCTGTATCTTCTCTAGACCAACTAAACATAAACATAATAGTATAGTGCCAAGGATTCCTTGGCATATTTAAATTTCTTGGCATGAATCTAAGACCATATGACCTACAGTTTGGCTATAGTCCTTACCTTTTTTTTTTAAGTTAGAGATATACAAGACTCTTCACTCCTTGTCTTAATTTTATGTGTTTTATCTCTCAAGAATCTTTAGGGATTTAAAAAATTAACAAAATAAGAGAAAATATTTCAGTCTTAAAAATGATATACCTAAATGCCAAGGAAATCTGTTTTAGAAAATGCAGAGCCTCATTTCCAAAACCACCTTCACTAGAGTAATCCAAAATGTCTTTCCTCAGCAATTAAAGCATCACAACTATCCCATTGTCCATATCCCAAGCAGATTTCCCAAAGCAAGTTTTCATATTAGAATCAGAAAATGGAAAACCTCATGTTGACCACAGTAAGATGCTTATCAGAGTTCAAAAGTTGTGACTGCCTTCTGCAATGAATTATTCCTAACTACAAGGTGGCCAAAACTTCAAATAGAAACTATTTACTTCTTGTCAACTTAAAAAGTTTAAAAAAATTGTTTGTCATTGGACACTAATGTTTTGAAAGAAAAATTAAGACTGTGTGTTTAAACTTTCTCATTTTCATGTTGTTGCTTTTGGTTAGTTCTTACTACAGGCTTTGAACCTGTTCTTCATAGTTCTGAGGCTCTGGGAACATTAGGTAACGATTTTTATGCCCTCGTTAAATAATTTCATGCTCATTAAAACCCATTCCATCACTTTCATGGCCAGGGTTGCTCTTGCTTTCTTAGACTGCTGTTGTCATTCCATTTCATACTTTGTCACCCAAGTAGTCAGGATTCTTAATTCAAGTGTTGCCTATTGTTTTTGACAAGTGTCCTTGGATCCAATTGAGGAAATGTATCTGGCATGAAACTCACTTTAAAATTGTATTGTGTGATTCAGTGAAGAGTCTGAAGATTAAATTGCTCCCCTTCTGTTTGGTATTTAGATCTATAAAACAATGCCAACTAAATAGCATGAACTTTCTCTGAGCAAGTTTACTTTCTATAAGATCTGTGTAATATTCCTATTACTCTCTTCCTGTTTTAAGGAAGGAGGATTCCTTGTTGTATTAAATTATCAAAAAAAGTTCCTCCCTAGAAGTGCCAGTTCTAATCAATATAAGCTACAGGCTCCGCAACCTTCGATGAATTTGGCTACCCCTCATTCTCCACCACAGCTTAGCGATTGTTCTTAATCTTTACTAAGTAGGAACTTCTCTAAGTATCTAAAGATGCATATTAATACTTATTCCTTTAATCAATAAATTTTACATATTATTTTGGACCCTCAGTGATGATATGGAACAAATTACATTAGTATAGCAAAATTTTTCAAACTTTGGAAATAAACTCAAGAAAGTAGAATATGTCTTAGAAAACATAGGTCCATGTACAATGCTGTTGGTGGTTTCTAGACCTACAAAAACTGTAGTAACCCAATATTTTCTTTCTTTAATTTTAAAACAATGGGACAAAAGAAAAATTAAAAACTCCTCCTCCCAAACTTGAAACTTCAAGGAAGCTTCGTCCTTGAAACAAAAGAAATCTATGGTTTCTGGTTGAAAGAGTCCTTCCAGCCCATTGCAGTTGGGCCTCAGGAGTGACAGTGACGTGTCCTGCTAACTGGCACCTCTCGCCTCAGATAGTGGTTAGCATGTCTACAACTGCAGGGTTGACCAGAAGGCTTACGGTTGGGGTGCTCTATGTGGTAGCCAAATTTATCATGTGCCCTGCATAGGGATTGTCTCTGACAAAAGATGTATCTTATTCAATTCTCTTATTATTCCACTTCATTCATCTCTTTTTAAAAACTGCTGCTTCTTTAGTTTATGTAAACAAATGTTTCCTTGCTCTCTGTGTTCCCAGCACCATATTAGCAGTTGAGTGGGGTGGGGTGGGGTGGGGTGGGGTAGGGTGTTGAACAGAGATGGAGATCAAAAGTAAGGACATGTTTCACCTTTTGAACAGATGACAACATAATAGTGGGAAAAACCTGTTCTCAAGTTTTTCTTATGTATAAGACAATTTGCTTATACAAAAGCAGCTTGTTCAATTAGTGGTAAAAATATAGAGGGGAAATATTTAAAGGAGTCAAGGATCTATGTGGGTTGTTAGAAAATAGCGGGACTTTGAAATAACTTTAGGATTTGAATTAGTAGATGGAAGAGTGGGCACAGCAAAAATAAAACAAAAGCCTTAACTCCTATTGAGGGTACCCATGAGGGTACTGAAACTGGAACATAGAACAAAACACCCCTAGGTGATACTGAGCATTTTATTAATGATACTATCATGAAATAGCTGTAGGAAGCTTTTCAAGCCCTTGTGGGAATTCTGATTCAGATGCAATAATCAATGAGAACCTAATTTTTTTCAAATAGGTTCTTGCTTTTTCTAGAAGGATGCTTAAGATCAGGGGTTAGCAAAATCTTTTTATGTGAAGGATTTTAAGTGAATATTTTAGACTGTGCAGGCCATTCAGTGTCTGTCACAACTACTCAATTCTGCAGTTGTAGCCTGAAGTCAACCAAAGCCAATATGTAAATATGTAACCATGCCTTGAATTATCTTAGTTTGTGGATGTGTTTTTGTTCCAATAAAACTTTATCTGAATTTCATACCCTTTTTACATGTTATGAAATATTACTCCTAAATGTTTTTCCATCATTTAGCAATGTAGAAAACATTCTTAGTTCACAGGCCAGTCAGAGGAAGGGCCACAGTTTGCCAGTTTCTGCTTTAAATTACGCGCACTCTGCAAGAGCTCTCCATCCTGCTATTTTGAGGGTCTATTTCAATTCATTGCTACCTTTGTCTAAAATCTATGAAATAAATTATACAAAATGGACAACTTAGACCCTCTTCTTTCAGCTCCCACTGAACTACAAACTCTTATTTTGAGACCAGTGACATCACCAGGCCTAGAAATGAAACAAAGTCAACCTGGTAAATAGGTGGTTTTATCTGTCTGGATACACTGTGAGCGTCAAGGGACAAACTCCAAGGGTTGTATTTCCAAATATAAAAACCACAAAAGAATATACATTGAACAACTCTCTCTACATATTATATAATGCTCTTTCCAGGATTGCATGTTGGTATTAAATTGATAATGCTTTACATTTATATTGTGTTACTCAACAGTATAGAAAAACTTATCTTCATTTCACTGTTTGCTGTTCCATTTTACATAATCATGTATCTGATTAAGTAGTCAACAAAACTACTTAGAAGAACTGGTTTTATTCTTATTTTTCACTAACAGTTACGAATTTGTGGTAGTGTTTAGTAGTAAGCTCAATTTGCACTCTGTCATGTGAAAAGAATGCTAGTTCAGTTGTGACCATCAAGGAAGGAGAAAGCGCTTCAGTAAAGACTTAAAACAAAAATAAAAACAAAACACAACTTTACCTTATATAATATAACCTGAACATATTGGCCCCAAGATTAAAAACTAAATTTTTAAATCATTCTTAGCAATGCTGTTGCTGTGCCCTAACATTTATTTTGAAACATCTTATTTTTTTATAGCATAGGATTGTAATCCTTTTCATCTCCTTTGTGCATCTCTTAATTAGCTAATGGCATTTTGGTACTCATGTGGACAGTACTAGATATGGTTGTTATTGGTAACCTACAACACGTATAAAATTGTGAGTTCAATTCAGTTATTAGAGTTCCTTTTAGTGTTAATAATATATTATCATAAGGGCTAGCGTGGAGCAGTTATAGGCACAAGGCACTTTTCTAAACACTTAGTATGTATTCATACATTCAGTGCTCACAACAACCCATCCTTGATCAATTGTATCATCCTGTGTTTTTTCTGCTAGTTTCTGAAGTCCTGGAATCTGTTACATTTAGCACCGAGTCATCAGAGGAAGCTATAGGTAAAAATGTTTCCTACTGGGAAGTGAGGTATATGTGCTTTCTCCATCTCGCTGTGGAAGTCCACTTTGAATGCCCTCATGTCATGCTTTGGGACATTTCATAGCTCCTCACATCTTGTCTGTGCTCATCCAGTGAATCTTGAGAGCCAAATATTATATACAGCACATTGTGCTCATGTCTGCTGTGTGCTCATGTCTATGCAAGTTTCACAGTTTCCTTTTTAGTTCACTCTCAATCTGACTGCAAGTTTTAATATTTTATGTTCTGATCATTCTTTCAATATGAATATGCACATGCGACTTTCCGTTTTAACATCATGTGAAGTATGCATCCCCATGCTTTCCAAGGATTCACTCTGTCTTTTTCTCACTAGAATCCTTTTTCAAAAAAAATGTAAGGAAGTAAAATGATCTTTTTTGCTCCAGGTAGAAATTGCTATGGTTATTGTGTGAGTCTGTGTGTGTGTTCCCACATAGCACATTGCCTTTATTTCTGCTTTCATTTCTGCCATTTTAAATTGTAATCGTCTTCATAAATCACCTAAATGTTATTCTCATGAGTGTATCTACTTAAGGTAACTAATCTTTGTTTTCAAATTAAACAGTGTTCCATTACAGAGTGCTGTGGGCTGCCCACCACTAACCAGACCTTCCCTGTTCTTCCCTAGCATCAGCCGAGACACATTATGTATATCCCACTGCCAAGGCACCACTCAGGCCAGAGGAGCCAAAGACTGAAGGTGGTAAAGGTTTTCATGCTTTGACTCATTTCATTCAACAAATTTTTAATTGGTGTTTATCATGTCCGTGGAACATGGAAGTTCAAGCTGTGGTACTTGTTCTACAATTGAGTAGATGTGAAGAGCTATAGCTTCCAATATTCTTGGATTCTTAAAATGATAATGGGCTCTCTGAATACAGAAATAAATTTCAGTTTCTCTTCCATATCTAGATATTGAGGCATAATGACATTTGATAACCAGCTAATGACCGTTAAAACATAAATATTAGTTGGAGGATTACTTTTATAGGATAGAATCTCCTCTCTTGGCTCTCTTTTTTCTTGTCTAAATTCATTGTCCTATTTGTAAAAATTTGATGCAAAGTCTTAAAAGAATGTGCTGATATGAAAGAAAAATACTTGACTAGCTTAACGTGTTACAATTTTTAAAATTGTTCTGCTTTGTTTTGATACAGTTGTGGAATCTGTTACAAATGTGTCTGAACCACCTGAGGCTACACTAGGTAATGACACAGCTCAGCAGTTCTGTCCTCACTGCCACCATCGCCTGGGACCCTCGGGTTCTCTCTCATTGTGAATTCGTGTTGCAGCCTCATTTTTTGTCACAGCAGCTCATTTTCTCTCTAGGTTCATCTGCTCATAACCATTGTCTGAGAAGTCTCTTCTTCCATTCAGTTTTGTACCTAGACCTGATCTCTTCCTCCACTTAAGTCAGCAAAACTATCCAATCTAAAGCATCTTTTCCTAACACTGCATATTCTGCCAGCTTGATGTTGTGTTGACTATTTCAGATAATATTGTTCGTATAATGATCCATTCATACTTTCTACCCTCGCAACACACTTTCCATTAACACTCATTCCATCACGTTCATTTACATGTTTGATGTTTTCTCCATTATTTAAGTGAAAGTCAGTGCTTCTTGTATTGGCTTATACTTTAACACCTTTTTATTACTTTGTTTTTCCTTTTGGTTACTACTGAATATATCTTTCTAGCATTGTGGAGGAGGTACCAGTGGGGAGTGAAGATTTAAAAAGTAGGGACATTGTTTACTTGGAAAGTGTTTTTGTAACCTGGCATCTCTAAGCTTTTTTTTTTTTAAACTAAATGCATTTTGAGGAAGGAGAAATGCTATTTGCTACAGAGTTGCAGTTTGCTTTCTTTTAAGAAAAAAAATTCTAGTTGTTACTATCATTTCTGTCATCTGAACTCAAGGTGTGTGAAGCACCAGGGTAAGCCCGTCATCCTCGGGGGCCGTGGAAGCAGCGGCCCTGCCTTCCCACCCTGCAATCCTGCCCAGCCAAATGGGCTCCGACTGGCCCGGGTAAATGCATTATTTTGTATTTCACGTAGAAGGTGAGTGTTTGCAGGACATAAGAATGGAAAGACAACATGGGCGGGCACTCCTTGACATCGGGAGCCCCACCTCGGTCCCTCAGCTCACAGCCTTCGCGGCCTCCTCTCCCGCCCATCGCCGGCAGCCGGTCACGTGGCAGCGCTGAGTTCTTTAGGACAGGCCTGGAGACAGCTCAGCTGCTGTGCGAGTGTATAGATGGGAAATATGCTTCTGGGGAAGACCATTTCTATTTCACTTAAATATAAATACTAATTTTAAACACTTTATCATCTTGCCTAGTTTTACAAGTTCTATGGCCCTGCTAACAGAAACAGGTTTCACTGTGCAATCCAGATAAAAAGGGATCACTGGCCAGTCACCTTGTCATTATTCATTCAGGTCCTTTGCTTCTTTCCCCTCCTTCCTGCAGTGGTTTCGCCATTTCGCTGCACGCAAATAAGAGAAACTGAAATCAAACCGGAGACTTTAGCAAGTCATAAAAGCGTTACTTGGTGGAGGAGTTGGACATGAAGGGAAACAAGTCATCACCGTGAATAACTGAATATGCTGCTGCTTACGAGGAAAACCCCTCTCAGTATCTGTAGGCTCTCTTAGGAGTTTATTATAAATAAGCCCAAACTTGTGTTTTGATTGCCATTGAACATTTTTGTATGTCTCTATTTCCAAAGGAGATACTGATATTTATTATACTCATTGTCCTTGGAAATAACCTATTAAATATTGCCTATTAAACTTTATATTTAATTATACCAAATTCTGCATTGATTGCATGAACTGAATCTGTCAGTTTTCTCTAACTTTTCGAAGTTTATAGTTTTTATAGTTATAATAATTAATATTATTGAAATGTTTTAATTGTGAATACTATTAGTGATTCTTACCCCTTTCTGAATCATTTTTGTGGCATTGCCTCATAATCTCCCTTTACCTGCAGACCATCTTTCCTATACCCTGGAGGGAAAATAGCCAGTCAGTAGCAACCTCAAAAAGCAAGGGAATTGGGAGTCAGGAAATCATGAGACTGAAAGAAACTCTAGAATCAGAGAATTTTAGAATTGGAAGGACTCTTTAAAAATTCTGTACCTTTAGATGGAGATCCTGTGGCTGTCACCCAGTGATGAGCAAAGGGAGCTCTAAAGCTCCAGGTGGCAGGCTCCTACACCAGTGTCACCTCCAACGTATCTTGGTATTCATCTCTCTACAGGCAGGAAGGCTCCACTGAAACCCTTGCATGCCTTGCATTCTTTGGTTTAGTATCTGGATGAAGTCTCTGCAGACTCTTTAGAAACTACTTCTAGTATCTAATGGCTCTTATTTTCAGCAATCTTTTCTTAAGGTGCCTGAAATTCCATGACCTTGAAAAGCATTTTGTTCCTTCTTACCTCTCTTATCCCAGACACACTTGAGTCCAACCAAATGAGGTGTTTCCACAAACTGCAACCTTGAATTTGATAATTTCTTTTTCCCAGCAGGGATATACTTTTAATTTTCTTGGTGAAGAAATAATTGGTTTTTATACCAATTATTTGGTGTAAAAATAACTCCTTTGGGAATTACCCAGAGAAGAAATAACTTTCTTCAGTAATCTACCCTTTAATTTCTGTTCAATTTCTCTTCCTTAGTATGACCAATAAATTTTTGTTCTGTCTAACAAGATTAATTTTTTTCATCAGCACTTACTATTGAAATCCATTCATTTTCTAGGTATAGTTGGAATATGACATGCTAACTTTTTTTTTTTTTAGAAGAAATTATATCTGTTTGCACTCAAGATACTGGGATAATCTGATATAATGGTGTGAACTTGCATTAAGGATGAATACTTGTTATTATAAAATTTATTTTAACCTATTTAAAAGCTATTTGAAGTAGATTTTTCTGGAATCCCAACGGTTTTGTTTGCCAGCTGAATATCTTGGATATCATTTAATGTGCCATCTTGTTTTGTTTTCTGTTGTAATAAGAACTTGTCTTCCTATATTTGCAGCTCTTTGGAAGCTTTAATTGCATTAACTGCTGTGTACCTAGGCCGTCAGTCACCCAACAAGCATCTCTGAGAGCCTAGAGGCTGGTACTGTGGTTCCTGAAGGGCTCAACAGCTCCAAGCCTTATATCTTTTTTTTTTTGGCTGCCAAGCAGACACCGCGCATTCCTCCCAAACCAAAAACATCTCCACGTCCAAGAGTCCCACAAACACAGCCAGGTAAATACATATTTTATCTTCTGGCCTGAAAAGTTGGATGTTAGTGAAGTTATTTTGTTGAATTATAGCGAGTTGGGTTTTTAACCCTTGGGAAGCAAGTCTTCCTGTGAAACCTGATAAATATTTACACTTACTTTTCCACTGAAATGTATACTATTGGAATAGCTTATTCCAGAAGGTACCCTGTTGTTACATTATTTGGAGTGGGTGATGAGAATGAAATTTCTTTAAAAAGTAGCTTGTCTGCTTTCTCTGCCTTTCTTTCCCAGCTTGAGAACCGTCAGCCCTTCCATGGCCCTTGAATGTGCCTCCTTTTGCCAATCACTTAATTTTTTTTTAACCTTTCAGTAAATTTTATTTAACATTAATATCATGAAGATTATATATATCTCTTCTCCTGTAACATAACAATTACATAATATTGCTACGGTTGTTTTGTTGTAAAATTTTAATAAGGACCCAAACAAGATTTATTATAAACTATTTTTTATTCTGTTCAAGAAGCTCTCCTTTGAATGTTTAACTCTAACCCTAACTTCTTAACCAAGCTCTTGTCTAATTTCTCCACCTGCCTCAGCCAATCTCCATTTTGGACTACCATAAACTTAAATGCTTTAAAGAAAGCTTATTGTTTTTCCGCCTTTCAGTTTACATCTGTGGTAGGTTCTCAGCATTTTGTATCTGATTTTTACCTCTCTCCCTCATCCAGCCTCTGCAGTCCGTCTGTTACTAAGCATGGGGCATTCTAGCTGCGATGCCTGCTTCAAGCATCTACCCTGTCATGCCTACTCCATTGTCATCAATCAGCAGATCTCCTGTCTCTCTTCTCTCCTAATTTCAAATTGTATCACCCCTTGATGCTTAAGTGATTGCTTAATTCATTTAATCAGTCATTCAACAAATACATACTGCACTCTGCTTAGGTGCCAGGCAATGCACTAGACACTAGGAGCTTGAAACAAAATTGAGTTTCTGTGGTCAAGTAAGTAACAGTCTTGGTCAATCACTTAAATTTAAATTTACCATTTATACATGGTCTGCTTCCATAAAGTATATGAGGTGCACCTGCCAATTTGTTAGGAAAGGAACATTCACCGTCACTGATGGTCTGGGGAAAGGAAAATGTTAGCAGGTAGTAGTTTTGAAGTTCCACCAAATCCTTTAATCATATCTCAGTGTCCCTCTTGAAAGAAAAAGCTGTATATTTGGGCTTGGTATTGAATGTCTGATTCTGGGAGACATTTTGCCTGTTATTTTTTTCTTTAAAGGGAAATTCCCTAAAAGACAGTTCTATGTTCTACATCTAGGAAATGATTTTAAATCCGCTTTAATCTCCTGACAGAATGAGAAATTTAAAATATTAACAATAAATATATGTGCAACATTTATATATAAGAAATTCTGGGGAAAATAATTGATGATTACTGAATGGGATAGGAATAAAAACAGAAAGCAAGTGTATTAAATCTGTGGATAGGAAACTAAAACATTATTTTATTATTATTTATTATTATGTCTTTATTGATTCCAGAGAGAGGAAAGGAGAGGGAGAGAGAGAGACAGAAACATCAATGATGAGACAGTCATTGATCGGCTGCCTCCTGCAGGCCCCCGACTGAGGACCCAGCCCACAACCCGGGAATCGAACCCTGATCGCCTGGATCCTAGGTCAATGCTCAACCACTGAGCCATGCCCCGCCAGGCTAAAACACAACTTTAAAAAATAAATCATCAGATAAAATCACATGAGGATACTCTCAACTTCTTATTTGAGTATAAAGCATGGAACAAAAGTAGCAGAGAAAGGAGAAATGGAAATAAATAAGAAAGCATGAAAGCTTAATGAGTGTTGGAAAATATGAGTAGAGACAAAAAATAAGAACTAGGAGTTAAGACATTGGGAATATAAATGCCTAGCTAGTAAGATTTTAAAGAGTAAAAGAGATATGAAGTAACAAGGAAGACATTCATAATTTTCCTTTTGAGCTGTATTCTACATACAGAAATACAGGATAATAAATCAGCTTACTCTAAATTTCCATTATTATACCATATTCAAAGTTTCAAATTTGTTTAATTTAGACCGTTAGCCAAGCTTCCGCCACAAGATACAGAGCTTCAGAATGGATAGATTCATACGCTCGGTGCATTCCACTCTACATCGGAAACCCTTGAGTGGCTGCCAAACAAGCAAGAGAGCTTCCTGACGCTGTCCCAGCTCAGGCAACTAACTCCCACCCGTCAGCATCTCTGGAAAATAGCTGCACCCAGATACTTCCTGCTTTGTCTGTGCTATTTAATGCAAGGGAACAATTTGGAAAATTGATCATGAAAAATATATTCTAATCATTCCTCTTAAAAGTAGATGAAATTAGGATCTCTCTGACCTAAGAGAATATGATGTTACCTAATAGATCCCAGAAATATCCGGGGTTTTATAGTCATTGAATGCTTGTGTATGTATACATATGCATTACTAAATATTTCAAAGATAGGTAGGTATTCAAATCCTAGTACTTCTCCTATAATCGTTGACTAGCTCTTTATGAACTTCAAAAGGCTTTTTGGTGGGAGAATGTTCTGTTCATATGTACAATACCAAGTGCAAATTATTGTTGGGTGGTAGGAGTATCATCTGAAAATAGTGTATGCACAATGTGTTCATCAACCACTTTTTTTAGGATGAAATTCTGTAATTGGACATGTCACCTTATTTATACTTAAACTATGCTTATATATTAGATCACAAAATTTGTCATTGAAGGCAAAGTGGGATAAAAAATTAGGAAGAAATCAAGAATATTTTGTCTTTGCCCAGCCGGGCGTGGCTCAGCGGTTGAGTGTAGACCTAGGATCCAGGCGATTGGGGTTCGATTCCCGGTCAGGGCACATGCCTGGGTTGCGGGCTCGATCAATGACTCTCTCATCATTGATGTTTCTCTCTCTCTCTCCCTCTCCTGTCCTCTGTCTGAAATCAATAAAGATATTAAAAAAAAAAAGAATATTTTCTCTTTAAGTAAAGATATGATTTTTAGATTTCTATATTCATAGGTAATACTTAATAATACCATTATTAATTTTATACCCAGAAATCTGACAATCATCCAAACTGTAGGTGCTCCTACTTTTTGAAGGAGCAAAGAGAAAATTAGAATGTTCTCAGATCCTTCAATGTGAACTTTGTAAAGATGTTCTAGAAGTGGAAAAAAATTTATAATAGTGTAGTTTTCACATCATTTTGACATTTCACATTTAATTCTCACAACTACCCTTTCAGTTAGCACAGGTTTATTATTTCTTCCTAAAAAAAAGTGAGAAGCAAGTTAAAATGTGACCTGCAGAGCTTGGATATAGAGAATCCAAATGTTTGGACCTAGAGATAATGTCTAGACCTCAGCTTCAGCTCAAGTCTTGTCTCGTACTTAACAGCTATGTATAGTCACCAACCCAAACCTTTAGAGTGAAACTGGCAATTCCTTCCTCCCAGCATTTTTATGAGAATCAAAGGGCATAATCCTTATGAAAGCATTTTTGAAATTGTAAAATGAGCTATAAATAAATTAGATCTTTTTTTCCTGGTGTCTATTACATTAGCACCTGTTACTCTAAAAGAACAGTTGTAGAAAGACAATTTTAGTTTGTAAATATGTTCATTTAAAGATTTATTTGGGGCCTAAGAATTGCAGGGAGAGTAGAATGCCAGTCCACCCACTCCATTCCTTCCATGCTCACTTCCCCTTCTGCTGTGGCCTGATCTGACTAAGCTTGTCTTATTCTTATCCATGTTTCATTGGCTTCTACCCTGACCCTCTGAACTAATCTTCAAAAAAAGACATGGGTTATGTGTGTATTGGGGACGGGGGGTGGTAAGAAGAAGTCAAGCAAACATCCAGAAAAGAACATTCTTGCATTAATTTAATTGGTAATCTCCTGAAATGAAGATTTTAAAAATATTCTCCATCCTGCCTTTATCCTTAGTCAAATTTTGCATTTCCCAGATTTCAGTCTCTAGAAATCTAACTGATCTATTTTTAGAGCTTAAAGTTTATTTTTCTACCTACCTCCCATTTTACTACCCTTTTTTTTTTTAATCCATGGTAGGCTTACTCTTTGTCAGATCTTATGTTCTAAGCATGACCAGGAGATGCTGACACCAAATGACTCATAATTTGAGCTCTCTCTTTCAGCAATTAAGGTGTTCCAGCGTGTTACTTCAAAGCCAAAAACGTCACCAAGGCCAGAAGTGTCATATACTCCACCTGGTAAATGTTTTCTTTCATATTTGAGCCAAATGCATTCTGTCGCACTCTGCTGCAATGAAACATGAGAGCCGATGGATGGGAGGTCAATATTTCACTTATGTTCACATACCATTTTGTATCATACATGACATGACCATTTCAAATGTTTCCTAAGAGTTATCTAAGTGCTCATATAGTAAGCTACTGATACAATCAAAAGGCAGAGACTTGTTCCAAAAAACAAAGGTAAATTACATATGTATTTAATACATACTGGTATCCTAGAGAAATAGATGCTCTGTAAAAGTCTACAAATGTAAAATGTAGTGCTGAAATCAGGACAGAGTTATGCTTTATCACAATGTTTATCTCAATTTATACTGAGAGAGATCAGAGGTAACAAACTTGAATTTTTAGACCTGTATCAAATAAGTCAGTCTAGGATATGCTGTGTAGCTTTTCCATTCCGTAGATTCCAGGCATAACACAGGTTTCATCCAGTTAGACCTTTAGAAAATATCTTCCAACCACTTAGTTGAATTATCTACAGTATGTAATGAGAATCTAGATGAATGGAGCCCACACACTGTGTCCAGAACCAGGAAACTGGCTTTTCTTTGTATCTGCCTTAGAAGAATGCTTTCTAATTCAGAGCTAAGGACTCGCCCTGATGTCTGGCTCAGCAGAGCTCTGCCTTCTTTGTAGATTTGTGTCTATACCAAGTGCTGTCCTGGCTTTGTGATGACTGGCCCACAGGTTTTTGGATAGACCTCAGTCACAGAGCAAACCAGGAAGAAAATCTAGATTCCCACAAGCTATCCAATCCTCACAAATGTTCTGTGTAGCTAAGCTACTCTCTCTGGTCAGTTCTAATTTGCAGTCACCCTGCAGCATATTTGCAGTTAGGAAGTAAGGGGGTAATGCTGAAATGCCTTTGGAGTTGGAATTGCTAGGACCTAGACAATGACTGAATGATTGAAAGAGGGATGACACTGCAGGGAGGAGTAAAGGCTTGTGCTTGTATGTCCTGCTTTTGCAGGGCCGGTAGGACTTTCAAGTGGAAATACCTAACGTGGTGGAAATGTATTCCGGGATATCTAAACAGAAGTCAAGATTTTGGGTGTAGATTTGGGAGTTACCTTTCTAGAAGGTTCTTAAATCTTATGAGTGGATGACATCATCCAGGTGAAAGTACAGACTGAGAAAATAAGAGGTCAGAGGTCAAATCCTTGAGCAACTCAGTTATATGTATAAGGAGTGGGCAGAGTAGGAGTGGCCAGCAGGTCTGAGAGAAGCAGGAAAGCTGGAGCCAGGAGGCGAGGCAGGGGAGGGTGGTCAGCGAGGCCGGGAGGCCTCGGAAGTGCTGCTGGACTTGACAGTTCAGGTGCACAAACCTGTATCGGAAAACCAAGGGCTGACGCTTCGGAATTCAGCAATTTTCAGGTTTTAGAAAGATGAAACAGCACATATACCATTGATAACAAGCATATCAATGTGTCTGCCATGAGAAGTATGAAGGGTCATACTACACAGGACGAATAAAAACTGTAAATAAGTCAGTTCTAGTTAGGTTTTGCTGTTTTGAGGTGGGGTTTTTTAGTTGTTGTTTTTGGGGTTTTTTTTTGGTGTGTTTTATTTTTGTTTTTGAAGTTTTCTTTTCAGGGCATTTTGGACTTCAGAGCTATGGATGAGGAATTTTGGGTCCGTGGTTTAGGTCAGGGCAGTGGAAACTGGACCACAGTGAATAAAGAAGGTGCCACTGAGAGACCAGGAAGCGCAGTCAGAGGGTTTTGATGAAAAAAATGACAGCAAGGGAGGGATGGTGTGAAAAGAAGCCATGTCGGAATGATTTTTTAATTTTTTTTTTTAAGATATTGGGGCATTTGAGCCATTTTATACGTAGAGGGGAAGAAACTTATGGATAAATGGAAATGTGCACTAATGGAGAAAAAATAAGATAACAGAAATAATGGAAAGTAATAGGCCCCAGAAGAGATGGGAGGGAGAGTGGCCCAAGAATCCAGGTTAAGGTTAGAGAGTGGCTTCCAAAAGGGCAGGAGACCTGCTTGCTCTCAGGCTGGACCTAAGGGTCCAAGGCTATAAAGGAATAGAGTGCTGGAGGTGTAAAGGGTGTGTACTCTATGTGTATTACTCTGCCAAAGGATCAGTCTCTTTGTAGCCTGTCACAGGAGTAAACTTTATTGCAGGCTTCATATTTCACCATCTTTATCAAGGAGCAACACATTGATTCTCTCCCCTGGCAAAACATCCATGCACACTCATTTTCATTTGTCCGTATTAGACATTTCACTCATAAATGTCTTGTGTTAGTCTTCAGAGCAGTGCGCTCTATTAAAAAAGATAGTTAATTTCATTGATTGGTTCATTAATATATGTGGTAAGTTGGTTAATATAATTGAGTCTAAAATATAATAATGGTAAATAGTCTTATAAGAAAATAAAAAATGCCTTCTCAAAAAAATTATTATTATTTACATTGTTTCCCCCAGCATGGGAGATTTAGGTTTCGGGACTCATGCTCTTATTTAATTTAATTTAATGCACAGAGGCATGCCACATAGGGAACAGGAAAAACAAGAAAAACTCACATTTCTTGGAGCTGCAACTGACCAAGCAAGAGAATGATTCATAACCCTTTCCTGTGAATATTTCTTTTTTTTGTTTTTTGTTTTGTTTGTTTGTTTTTTTCCACTGGTTTTAGCTGCTTTAGAAAGCCTGCTATGGCAGTTTATTAAATCATCACTTGATGGTTACAAAGTGCCAATTGCAGCTGCAGGAATCCACATTACCCCAGCCTAAATTCCTCAGTCGACTAAAGCAGGCAGCGAGTAATGTATTTACAGTATGGTGGATTTATTGGTTGCACATTTCTTCTGTTTCTCCTTTCCTAATCCCAGCTCCTCTCTGTGTAGTCTAGCACTGTAACCAATTAAGTTATTTATAAACTACTGGCGCTTTGCATAGTCGTGACCTTCACAGACCCAAATCAAAGTGCCTTCTCCTTCACCCTCCAGATAAACATTTAGTTTGATTTACAACTGGAAATTCCTCATATTTCACCATTTGAATTCCCCAAAATGCTACATAGCAAAGGTGAAACATTCACTGTTGTGATGGGTTTTCTCTAACTTTGTTGACCACTAATCTTTTTGAAGTCCCTTTTTCCTTCCAAAAAAAAAAAAAAAATCCAGATTTCCAAATTCCCCTGGATCACTGAAGTTCTAAATGAGTCAAGTTTCTTTTCAATGTACCAAATTCCACAACTGCAATTTCACTGGGACTTAGTGGCCTGGACTAAGAACAGATGTGATAGGTACCTTAAATATGATCCCCCAAAGCAATAAAAAGAATGTTTGTTTTATATAACCTATTTTTATACTAATGGTAAAGTGATGCTTGGCCACCTGGTATGAAAGTTTCATCACCTTTCTCTGAGGCAGAGTTCTAGCCTGAATTCTAATTATTTTCCCCAGCATCATAGAAGGTGCAAGAAAATTACACTGCCCACCAAAGGGACCCTGGTATTTATGAAATCTTCAGGGTTGCAGGAAAACCTTTCAGTGAGAGAGTAGGGCTGAGAAGGGGAAACTGAGTCATTACCTTGCTCTTGGAGGAAGACTTTGCCATAGAAATCCAGTGCTAGCAATAGGCAACCCCCCCTGAAATTGGCCCCAAATGAGAAACAAGGTATCAAATTCTCAGCCTACTGTTTTATTTTGCCAAAATAGAGCTGACTACAGGCATTAAAAAATATACTGGATGTCAGAGACTGAAAATAAATAGGTTTATTGTTTAGCTGACATTTTTGTTTTGTTTTCATATCCTCACATGTCAGGAGGCCCTGCAACACCTAACATACCAGAAGCCACATCCCTATGACGAAAATGGCCTCAGTTTTCTAGTATTTACTATGTAACAAGCAGTCCACCAACTTTTCACCTGTTATCTTCTAATAAGTGCTGGTTTCTTTCACTTTGATTTTCCCCCATAAAAACTGTTAGTGTCTTTTAGAATAAGACTTTGTTCTTCTTTAGATATTCAAGAATTTTGCCTTCCTGGCCGTTTCCGTCAATTTGGGGACCATCTGTGCCCTTTCTCTGAGATAACGTGTCTTCTGCTGCTCCCGCTGACATTTTAGCAGGAATATCAAATGGCCCCCAACCCCTTCAGGCCCCTCACCGACTTTCTGTTTGGAAGTCAACTTGGGGGAGACCTGCCTTCTTATGTTCAGTTACATGAGTTATTTCCTCCCGCCCCCTCCCCCAAGGGAGGTTTCACCTGTGACCAACCCTGTTTTGCTCCCACTAGAACCTTTCCTAGACACTTTCCCATTTTCAATGCCATTTTCCCATTTTGAAAAGAACTGTGTCTTGTCAGCTTGGTGGCAGTCACTGTGAAAGTGTTTGCTTCGCTCTTGCTTTCCAGGATTTCTGTCTGTGGGTGGTTTCAGTCCAGGAGTGACAGAGTACACGGTGTCTCTAACCTTTTCCTTCCAGGTCCTGGAGATGTGCTCCGTCCCCGCAAACAAGACCACGAAGTCTCTCAGAGCGAACCTGGTAAATGAACCATTTTATTTTTCCAATTAAGAGGTATATTTTTCAAATATCTTCTTGAGGTACATATTTTTTTTAATGATCGTGATGTGGAAGAAGTTGGAAGGTATGGGTATAAAATGTGTATTTCGTTTGGGGAAGGGTTAGCCACATAATCTGTTTGAATTTTTCCCTGGTTAACACTAGGGAGTAACGAGTAATTATTTTATCTTTCCTGGAAGTGTTTTTGTTGAATAGGAGATCGTGCTAAAATTCTAAGACCTAATTATTAACTGAGCCAACCATTTTCACCTTCTTTCCAAGTGTAAATATAACTACATTCCAACTGTGGGTGTACTTTTAAATAAAATACGTAGGAGCCTACTCAAAATTTCCTTAAAGTGACAGTGAATGCAAACTTTAAAGCTTTAATTAAACTAAGTTGCCTGGGTGACATCTAATATATAGAATTTTCTCATATTTGTTACGGTTCCTAGAGAATGTTTAAATGATCAAATGGATGCATGTAGAAACACAGAAACTATTTTTATTTCACCAGATAGTAATTCTCATGAATATGTTTCTTTGGTTTGTTTTTGGTCTAGTTCTGCAGCCTGTTACCTTTAGAATTGATCTGCCAGAGACAACAATAGGTAATGGTTTTCCCATATTGACCAACTCTAATTGTTTTCTTTGCCACCAACAGGATTACAGGTCTTTCTCAAATGATCATATTGAAACATCATTTCTTCTCAAACCATTTCATAATTTCATTCTCATTATTACTCTGTCCAAAATAGAAAAATAATAGTTTCACTGTTGTAAAAGCTTTGCTCTGAAGACCAGCTTCAGACAGCTCGTTACCAAGTCCATCATCATCTGCCTCACTCATCTCCATGTTCCAAGTGACCCCACCTTGCTGGTGCCCCTCCACTTCACATTTTCTGCTGGTTTAATGGTTCTCAGCTGTAGTGCTGTGATACACTAGCAAATTGTGAAAGGTACTGGTAAGGAATTATCATTAATATTGTTTGAAATACTGAAATTTGCCAATGATTTATTTTAAAAAATAAACGAGCAGACTTGAGATGATGGTAGCAAACACAAGGATGACATCCGCGCTCGTTTTGTAATCCTGTGTGCTGTCTCGGGTGGGAGAGTCACAGCTGACAGACTCAGGGCCATGTCTGGCCCATTCCCATCTTACGGGGTGTGGTCATGGAGTGTGTCAAGCATTGAATGTCATTTATTATCTATTCTAGTGGGAAAAAACAGTTGAGAACCATTATTCCAATATTCCAGCCATTTTCCTAAAGGTTCTGTGAACAATTCACTTTCTTCTCCATGACTCAATATTTTCCTATTTTTGTTTCAAATGAAGGAATCTTATGTAATATTCTGGTCTGGCGCTGGCATTTGAATGTAGAGATCGAAAACCTTGGTGCTTATGTTTTGCAGCTCCTTTAGAGACCCGAGGCAGCCCTTTTATTCCTATGATTTCACCAGGTCCTGGTCAAGAGGAACTACAGACCACTCTGGGTAAATTTTGTTTTGATATTTCAGCCCAATGAGGACCCACCTCTTAGGGATTGCCCTTAAAGGAGCCATATGTACATTGTGCTCATGGGTTGTTTCCAAGCAATAGAGGGTCTCTTTTTACCATCACAAAAATCTCCATTTCACTTGATTCTTTTACATTAATTGTATATTTGTCCTAATATTGTGATTTTTAATATGAAATGAGAATGTTGTAAAGCATCTTGACAAAATTTCAAGTATTCTGAAAAGCAGAATGTTCCCAAAGTATATCAATGATATATTTTTTTATTGTTTTTTTTTGTATTTGAAAGTGCACTTGGGAAGAAAAATTGCATCTAGTGTTTCATGGGTACTAAGTACGGTGCTAAGCAATAGGAGTTTCAAAATAAAACTCTTTTAAAGATTGGTCCTTAGCCTGGAGGGCTCTCCCTCTAATATGAAGACAAGATTCAGTGATATTGGTGCTTCCTGATTGCCATTCAATATGCTACATGTATTTTTTAACTTAAGTCACTTAACAACTTTGTAAGGTAGGCTCTATTACTTGCCCCATTTTACAGATTAGAAAATTGAGGCATAGAGAGATTTAAAATTTTGACCAAGTCACACAGCTAATGTCAGAGCCAGATTGGAACCCACACATTAAGTCACCAGAGTTTTTGGGAGTCACCCCAGTGTTATATTTTACAGTGAGTGTGACAGAGAAATGAGCAACATGCTGAACAAGCAAACTGCCAGCAGGCATCAGGGAAGGCTTCACAGAGGAGGTGACATTTATACTGGGTCTACAAATTGGAGTGACAGTTGAAGTTAAAAATGCAAATGTCCTTTCAGGTTAAAGACAGATGGGAATGAGGCACAGACAGGGCAGAGATTGGCGGCCAAACTAAAGTGGTGAGCATGTAGGTCACATGGAGAAATGCTGATGGATGAGTCAGGACAGTTGTTTGGGATGAGCTCTGGCCCTGCTTTCGGGAGTTCATCGTGTGGGAAATCCCAGTTTGCCTGACTCTTGGCTGAAAATGAATCAGAAAACAAGTGTTCCCAGCTTGTGATTTCTGGCTCCTTTGCCCTGTCCATGCTACATCACACATGGCTGTGTTTAAATTAGTGGCCTTATTTTTCTCCCCTCGTCCCTTTTCAAATAAACTCATCTTTCATGTATGGCTGCTGAAATGAACTTACTGGTCACATTTTTAAGTAAAATTGTTTTTGGAGAAAAAATTAAAAACTGAATGAGAAACATACCCCGATTACCAAATATTCATCTATTGTAGTCTAAGCCCACAAGGTCAAGATCACCCATGATCGTGAAATCAAAAGTACTTTCAAGAACCACTGCCAGATAGGCTAATTATCTAACTTCCACTCCCTATTTTTTTAATGTATCTTGGTTTATTGAAGCAAGAACCATCACCTGCCTTCATCTCAAGTATATCTCTTGTGAGCCGAATCCAGATTATAAAGCAGAGCAGAAAAAAAGATGACAGTGTATTATTTGCACCAAGTATTTCCTTGGATCCAGTGCGTGCCAAAGTGAACAGCATAATTTTCCATGTCTGCATGATGTTGTAATGAATCCAAGATAATATTGAGGGTGGAACTATTGCCATACTTATTTTTTTTGTTTTGTCAGGAGAAATGTATCTGTATCAGTAAACATAACCTTTGCTTTTCACATAAGGATAATAAAAGAATATTTATTATGTGGTGTCAGACCTACTTCTTTTCCCCCTCACCTAAATAACTTGTGGGGTGTATGGAATAGGGAAAAGATGTGAAGGCAGTTAGGAGGCACATCCAGGTATCACCACCTCCAGCATCATGAAACAAACCCTGAGCTAAAAGCCTCTGATAATCATTAAAATAATTAGTGCAAGAAGAGGTAAAATATAATGAATGAGAATTATTAAAATGTATCATTAACTTTGAATTATTATGATTACTGGGCATACTTACAAATGCAATTTACCCTTTTATTATCACTTGGGGCAGTAAAGAGTGGGGTTTTTTGCTATGTTCATAATGATAATTATTTAAAGCAAGCATCTTACTATGCTTTTCCCCAGCAGAAACAGACCAATCCACCCAAGAACCCTTCACAACTAAGATCTCACGAGCAACTGAATTGGCAAAGACAACTCAGGGTAATGCTATTTCCCCACCTCTGGATACTAACTTTTCTTTTTTCATTTTTAATTGGGAAATAAAATTTTTTTACAGAATGTTATTTTTCGTCACAGTGAGTTACTTGATTTTTTTTTATTTAATAGGTGAAGGACATTGGCCAAATATGAATATCCATAAGACTATCAGTGAAGGCAGGGAAGACAAGTTCCTTAGTTAGAGCTTTGCTTTTGAATGTATGGCCGACCACTCGTTGCTGATAACTAACAATGAAAGCTCTCTTTTTTTATTTCCTGATTGACCTTCATTTGCCTCATTTTCTACATCTGAGAAATAAGAACCTTTATTACCTTTCCTCCCTCCACCCTCCTCTTTTCTCTCTTTCTCTCTTTTTTCTTTCTGTGTCTCATCTCCCCAACTCAATGGACACATCGATACTGTGGCCTGAGAAAGGAAGCTAGTAAGAAAAATTCATTTTTAAACAGAACTTAACATTTAAATTTCCAGCAAAGTTTTCTCTGGAATGTCCTTTAATTTCTTTCTTTCTTTCTACATTTTGGGAAGTAAACTCACCTACATAAACCTTTCTCTCATCTTCATGCTCTTGGGAGGATATTTTTTATCCTACCTGGGTTATAACCATTGCAGATTTCCAGTATTTTCGTGTTTTCTTTCTGTCTTTTTTTTCCTAAAGGACCCCTTTTGCCCATCTCTACCTCTTTCATATGGAAGGAAGCCCAGAAAACAAAAGCAAACTTTTTTCAAGGAGTTGACTTATTTTATTCATTGTCAGTTATAATTTAGGAGGGAGTGTTTAGTGGAAGAAACTTGAAATAAGAGGAAATGATAACAAGAGAAATCTAATTTATGGTATACATTTTCTAGTAAGTAGAGCAGTACATGCTTATTCAATAAATGTGACTGTGAATGCTATGACGTAGGACAATTCTTGTAAATTTTCTAAATCTTTTCTTGTTTGGTTTAATTTTTTATTATGTTTTAAAAGTTTATTTTATTATGTACTTTATCACCTTCATATTTATTCACTTATTTTTATTTATAAATCCACACAGAAGCCTAATACAATGACAGCCCTCCCACATCCTCATTAATAACATGTTCAATCATGTTACATTCATATTCCACCCTTATTTTTTTGCATGTTTGTTTGTTTATGGTTTTGCAAACCTCTTTAATGTCTGGCCTAATAGAAGATAGCTGGATTCTCATAATCAAGCACATCAATTTTTTGTAGCAAAATCTATACACCTACTTACAATAAGCAGGATAAATAAAGACTATTCAGCTTAGGTTGCCAAATGAGAAAGTTTTCAGCTTTTTAGAGCTTTGTAAGTTTCAGAATTGAGGATGAAAGATCATAGGGCTGTTCTTTGCTTTTGCATTTTCTTACTTTAATGGGAATATCAATATTGTGTCACCATTACCAGTGTCTGTGGAAATTTTACCAAATTCCTTCTGGAACATGGTTTTATTACATAGAAGTTTCACAGTTGATTAGATGTATGTCCAGGATCTGATATTAGATGAATTGTCTTAACATATTTATATAATATACTCTATTCTAATTATTTTCTTAAGCCTTAACTGCACTGCCTTAGGAGACACACTTTTCTGGACTGTGCCAAGGGTCTTGAGAGTGGGCTCACCAGAGATTCATTTGCATGAGGTGACAAAGGACATCCTAGGAAAGAACCCATCTGAGGGATGAGAGTGGCATCCACACCCTGGCCCAACCCAACACCCCTGCCTGGGGGTAGAGAGTCAACTTCAGTAAAGTCACGCTGTGTGTCACTAGGAGCACCTGGGCCCGGTCCTCATAAACGCATGCCTGGGCTCTGCAGAAGGGGAGGCCGATCGCCTGTTCTGTTCTGGATGTGCTTTGTCATGTTTTGTTTGTAACAGCAAGCATTAGGGGCGTGGGCAGCTCACAGCAATGTGATAAGGTGCTGTAGGGGTGACGCTGTTCCTCTTGATCTCTGCACTCGGCCCACGCACCTACCGTGACCTGCCAGCCCCTCAACCACAGGCCCAAGTGCTTGGAAGAAGCTGCAGCACCTCTTCTACGTGGCACCCTTGCTCCACTGTCCACTGAGACAGTTCCCTGAAGCACTCGACAGCCCTGAAGTACTCAGGCTCTCCTGCTTTGCCTTCTCATCTCACCCAGAGTAGAAATCCACTGGGCCAGGGCCGTTGGGGGAATATTTTCCTTATGTTACTCCCTTCAGCCCCTGACGCTTACCACACCCAGGGAAAGTTGAAGACTCCCCCCTCCCTCTACGGGGCAGAACATACATCACTCAAGGTGTTTCTCCTATAATCCCTGTTTGTTCAGTTTAGATGTTATCTTCACACCTTCATACAGTATTTTTAATGTTTGTTTTACATAGACTTTTATAAAACTATTCAGATACGAAGCCATCTTTAAAAATTATTTTTATTATTGGTCACAAAATACTACAATGATTACACGGTCACAAAACTCCTTTGTCTTTTTTGTTTGTTTAAAATTGAAACCCTGGAGTGGCTTTCTCAGGACCATGGGTTATTTGGCGATGAGCTATCTGACTAACTCACAGCCTAAACTTAAGTTACATTTCAGCTCTTTTATAGAAGTTTTTTCTAGATTTAAGTAGAGACTATGGAAAAATAAAAAATTCTGATCATGTGGCTTTGAAATAATATAGTGCTGATTATTTTTGTGCTCTAAGTCTCTTACCTGTCTAAAATTTTAAATTTATATTTCTTCTAAAATGAGATTAATAAGAACCATGATCATTGTAGTTCTTTAAGTGAAAGTAATCTTACACAGAAGAAATTAACATGAAAAGCTGAAATATGTTGAATTGACAGAGATTTCTATCACTCTCAAAGAAAATTAAAAACAAAACAAAACAAAACATTGGCTAACCATCATCACGCATTGTAGGATGTGTGCGAATTCATATTTTATAACATCAGTACCTCTGTTCACTCTAGTTGTTATACTTCGAAAGGCCCACACTGAATCCACAGAGAATTTCAGTGTGTGTCTGCTATTTTTGGCCTGAAGTATGGCAAAATTCTGCTCATCAGTCCACATTGGAAGCTTATAAATGAGCTACATTATAATCTGTTTTACAGGTGTATTTTTTTTTAACTCGTTAGGCAAGGCACTGCTGATTTATGGTTACATAAAAACCCACTCAAGATGTGAACCAAACCAACGTAAAGCTGTAATTTACTTATAAATTTACAAAAAATTTTCTATCCAGTCTTAGCTAAAGCATTACCAAGAAATTTGGAGTTAGGAGGCAGTGTGCTGTGTCGAGAGGGTAGGGGAGGGAAGGGAAGAATGGACAAATCTAAGATGAACACATACTTTAAAACCTTAGGAAGAAAAAACATTTCAGCTGGGGTTCTCATGAATTCGTCTGTTTACAGTGGTCACTCATTTTTTAATTTATTCAACAAGCCTTAATAGGAGTCCTCACTGTGCCAGGCCCTAGAGTACAGGAGGAGGAAGTGACGAGCAGATGTGTTGGTCCCAGAGCTGAGTTCTGAGTTCTTGCTCCTTGCTCTCCCTCTCTTGATGGGCAGGACCCCAGAGGTTATGTTCTCTCATCCTAAAGCTGGAATAGATGGCACTAGGTATTTCTTCATTTCAAGATTCATGAGTTAAGACATTTGCATAGAGATCACATGTTTTTACTCTTTTCTTCTTACCTACCTCAAAATATTTTACTTTTTGCCTTTAAGATTACTTGTCTTTTTTTTTTTTTTTGGCAAAATAATGTTTCATGGTGACTACCTAATTGAGTGATGGATATGTGGACAGACAGATGGACACATGGATGATGGATGGATGGATGGATGGATGGATGGATGGATGGATGGATGGATGGATGGATGGATGGATAAATGGATAAATGGATAAATGGTCGGCTGCCTTACATGCTTACCATGTTAAGCAACCATCTGTTAAAATAAATGCCCTTGAAAAACATGGACTATATGATGACATCATTAACACACATTATAAATGGCCTACCTCATTCTGACAATGTGCATTTTAACATCTAGTCATGAATATTTTCACTTGTTTTGTTTTCCTTTAGCATCAGTGCTGTAATGCATAATTGGAGGTTGCAGAATGTTTTTTCTACTTCCTTGCAAAGTATACAAGTTGGTGGTCCCTAGGATGCTAAATTTCTATTGAGTGGGCTTTGAATGTTGTATATTAAACATGAAGCATTTCCTCTGTTTCAGCACCACACAGATTGTACACTACTCCTATGAGGCCCAGAATACCCTACAAACCACACCTCAGACCTGGTAAGTTGTTTCTCTTTCTGATGACCTGCACAATCAGTACACCTGAGAAGGTATAGAAAGTACTGAAATGGTCAGATGCACCAAAAGAGAACTATACATTTAAATTGAAATTAAGGACATAGAGAAATTCTGATCCTTGCAGATAAGTGGAAAGGTAATGATGAATCCTTGGAATTGACAAGATTTGACTGAGGTTTTTAAGGAGGGTCAAATTCAGAGACCACTATGGAACTTGATCAATATAAAATTATTATTTTTTAATATGTTTTTATTGATTTCCAGAGAGAGGAAGGAAGAGGGAGAGTTACAAATATCAGTGATGAGAGAGAATCATTGGGCAGCTGCCTCCTGCATTGCAATCTCCTACTGGGGATTGAGCCCAAAATCCAGGCATGTGCCCTGACCAGGAATTGAACTATGACCTCCTAGTTCATGGGTTGACGCTCAACCATTAAGCCACACTGGCCAGGCTAAAATTATTTTTTAAATAGTATTTGTGCATAAGAGGGGACCACACACACACACACACACACACACACACACACACACACACACAC